GGAGAAGTTGCACCGACTGTATTTTGACTTTAGTTCCATCCGAGACTCCCATGGCACCCGTCTCATTATGGGCATTGGGTATGTTGTTTGAATTAATATCTACATGAGTGATTCTGTTATTAAGATTTAATGGGCTGTTAACTACATTTTCATTAGACTTAGCATTATTGTTCTGAGAGTTAACAGAAATAGTTGAATTTGCAGTGAGGGCACTGTTAACAGGTGAGTGGAGGCTAGGGGGCTGCGAATTGGAGTATCCTTATCGTTATTGGTTTTTGCAGGGGCCTCATCCAGGAGTAGCCTTTTCTCTGGGCTAAAGGCATTTGAAGGAGATAAGGAACGGAGGCGTTTTATGATACCCAAACTTTTATAGCATGCACTGGCGTTCATTTTCGTCACCAAACTAACGGCGCCCGTATTGGTCGTGGTGGATATAGGGCTCGCTCTTTTTTCAACAGTTAATGGTTTGAGTCCCAGCTTGGTGAAGAAAGAGGGTTTGGAAGGGGTAAGGGGGCTTATAGCCCGTTTTCCCATAAAGATATTTGGGGAATTGCTAATTAATATTTCTCCTAATCCGTACTCACCGCGGTAAGGTGAGGAGTCATCGGGCAATATGAAAGATGCCTGGGAAGAGGTGTTGGACACCTCCTTGTCAGATCCCACTATAATGGCGTCCATTTCTTTTCCTATGGTTTATGTCGTTCTTCGCCGTTAATTATCCTGTAATTCTCCTTGCTCCGTTGCAGATTTCCCGTTGCTGGATGATGGTTTTTTTTTTTATTTTTAATTTATAGATTTGTGGCTGGTAAAATTTTTATAGATGATTACACGAAAACAGCAAATTTTTAATTTTAAGTGTTTGTCTTTTTTAAATAGTGTTTTATTTGGTTTTGAGTTTTGGCTTTGACAGATTAGATTTTATTTTTTTTTTTTTTTTTTTTTTAATTAATTTTATTATTTCATATTTAGTTTTACAATGTTTTGTGTTTGTGTACATGAATTTGTGTAAATTAAGTGCCAGTCATTGCTTTAAAGTATATATCACAGTTAAATAGATAAGTTAATAAATATAAAACATGAAGAAATCGACTTTACATTCAAATGGCACTAAATATATAATACATCAAGAATTTAAAATTAAACACAAAAGTTTATCCAGGAAGAAAACGCTGCGAAAAAGCGCTTGGCCAGGGACGAAAGAGAGAGTCAGGAATCCTGGCGTATTACCCCAAGGGCAACTTTTGCGCCAAGATTCCCCACTGTTCATGGCGGGAAAGCGCACATCACCGCAGGCTGGTCACATTGCAGGGCTGATTGTTTCCCATCCCTGGTCGCCGATAACATGGCAGCAATCGGTGCAAGTCCATCGCTGACTTAAAAATACTTAAAAGCTAACATGACGAAAGTTGGATAAAAAACTGCAAGTATAAATACATGGAACATTAATAAAAGTAAGTAAACAAAGAAAATAAATATTTCAGGTAACATGGAGAAGAGCAGAAGAACATGGACTAGGGCGCGTCGATGGACAAAGTGGCAGGTAAGTGTTTGTTTACATTCTTCTTCTTCTTTCTTTGCTTATATATTTTCTCTTTTCAGGTGGTTGCAGTTCCGGGAACAAATCCAATTGGAGTGGTAAATGGTGACGACAGGTAGGTATTAGGGCGAACCATGGCAGGTTTGTCCATTAATATAGATTATTTCCAGGAAGACATCAAAAAGCGGCGCAGAAAAATAGCCGCTTGCAGTGGCCGATAGGGGCCATTTCTTGGGAGCTGGAAAAGTACCATGTCGACGTTGGAGACATAAAATAACTGGTGCAGCGCCATCTCAGAGGGCCCCAGGGAAGGATCCAGGCGAAGAAATCCGAAGAACATGAGGGACGGATGCAGGAACAATGACATCGAAATGGACAAAATGGCTTGGATGAGGACGGACGAGGAAGGCTCCAAAAACATAAAAAATGACATCGGAAGGGACAGGAATCAGGTCAAGAGCTCAGCAGGTAAGTGTCCTTAGTCATTAGTCAATATGATAAATTCCAATAAGTCCAAAGTAAATTTTCCAGGAAGCCGTCGTCCAAATAAATACGTCAAGAGGTCCAGAGGGGTAAAAAGTCATCCAGCGAAGTAATCCTTGTCATAAAATATCACAGCAAATTATCACAGGTTGGTTTCCATAGCAGGTTAACTCCGTTGTCCAAATTCACCCGGGAGGAGATCGTCGGGAAGAAGGTCCAGAAAGTTAGTCAAGTTTGCTTCGCAGGACGACAAGGATACATAGAAGGAAGTTTAAAGTGGCAGTATAGATGAGGGAAGTTCCATGCTCGTCGATAAGGATTCCTTTTAATGATTCTTTCCCCTTTTTCTTTTATTTTCAGGTACATGAGGGACGGTCAAGAATAAATAAAATACATCGAGACAGGCAGGAACAAAGAACAGGAACATGACGGTAAGTAAAAATATCTATTGCAATAACTCTGATAATATTGTCTATAAGCATTCAGGAGTTCAATAATTAATACAAATTATTTTAAAATCGTCCAGAAAATTTGCGGAAATGGCGTAGCAGGCTGTCAGGTAAGTAAAATAATTATTCTAGAGTAATGCACAGTATTTGATCTATGTTCCTTTTTTTTTGATCTAGGAAATAAAAAACATGGAAAAGGAGGAGTTAACAGCGGACCAGATCCCCGGCCAAAAGGAGATCCATAAAGCTATCATCCTCACAGAGGAGGTGGCCATCTCCTAGCTCAGCCTCCATTTCTTTGCGCGTAGTGTCATCCGCACTAAGGTCAAGAGATTTCGACACTCTTTCAAAGGCCGCAATTAATTTGTCCATCTTCTTCTCCAGGTTCTCTAATTTGGCCTTGACTTCTTTTTGGAAGGCGTCGTCGGGTTTCCGTCGCTGGACATCACGGGGCGAGGATAACAATGAAGGACCAACAAGGCAACTCAGGTTCGTTAACTGGTTATGATTTTGACGGACATTGGGCACTAAATTACTCCTCTTTTCCAAAGGACGATTGTGCTGCTGTCGACGTTGGGATTGAAGGTGAAGGTGACGCTGCTGTTTCTGCCGCTGCCGCCCATGAGCAGGACGCGCCCCCCCCTGACGCTTGCCCATAGATCCCAGGTCGCGCTTTTTCAAATCCTGGTAGATGGGGCATCCTCTGTAGGAGCTTATATGCGGGCCGTGGCAGTTGCAGCAGCGGGCCGGACTGCTCCTTGGTTTTGTGCAGGCCGACGTCGGGTGAGCCCCGGCACACTTCATGCACACAGCCCGCCTCCTACATTCCTCCTTCATGTGCCCGTAGAGCTGGCAGCGGTAGCACTGGACCAACCTCTGATGGGCATTGCGGGCAGCAGAAGCAGGCGGCCTAGAGACATTCCTTTTAAATAAAGACGGAATTGGCCCATCTGGATTCCTTGTTTTGGGTGTATTTAGCACCTCAATTGCGTCAATATTGTCCATATTATTATTTAATAAAATGTTTTTGTTTGGCATTATTATTCTTGATATATAGCGTCTTTGTACTTTGAGGGGGGCGAGGGGAAAAATTCTTCCCAAATTGGTCGATATCTTTAGACAAAACAGAGGCATACGAGACATTTAAAACATTTATCTGAGAACTAGTGGCATGGATGGCATGAGTGGCGTGAGTGGCATGAGAGGGGTGAGTGTTAATGGGTTCATTCTCAGTATTTGGCATATCCTTAGCCAAATCAATCGCCGGCAAAATTTGCACCGATTGAATAATAACTGGCGAATTGGTTTTATTGTTGACAATGGGATTTACCGGCTCAGGGGTCGTCACCCGAATATCAGGGGACAGGGATTTGTTCCTGTTTGCCCTTTTAACCGGCTCCGCTTCAAGATATTCAGGAGTGGGCGATAATTGTCGCTTTAATGGCTGAACTTTGACCGCCTCCCTCGTTTGAAGAAATTTTTCAAATACAAAATTATAACCCTCGGGGAAGGGTTGCATATTTTTAGGCGAGGGAGGAAAAAATGACTTATTCAGGGTTTCATTTACTATAGAGCCAATCGGCGAGATAACTCTGGGGTACTCACCCCTCCTGCGAAGTAGCCCAAAAATAGTCAGTTCATCCGATCCGATCGAGGAACATGTGTTGTTGCTGTCCATCGCTGTCTTCCTTGTCCACCACTTTCCTTATCCTTGTGTGAGAGTATAGGTGTAGGCTCCAAAATGTAGAAAAAGCGCGGGCTTTTAGTTTTATATATGTATTTGTGTCTGTGTTTGTGTACGCACACGGGAGAGCTTGACCAAAGCACGGTATTATGTGTTAGAGTATGCGTGTAAATTTCTATATTTTTGGTTTTATATGTGCGTTTTGTTGATTACACATGTAAATGTCTTTATATGTTCTGGGTATTTAGGAGTTTATTGCCCCCACAAAATCACAAGTCACTTTAGGTTTTGATTTTTAATTTAATTGATTGTTTTATTGGCTTTTGATTTTGTCTTTAATCGTTTGTTCTATTGGCTTTTGAGTTTTGCAATTGGTTTTACAATTTTAGTTTCACAATTTAGTTGGCTTTTAACTTTTCACAAAAACAGTTTACATGGATTTACATGGGTTTTACTTTTGGTTTTACTTTAGTTTACATGGATTTGGTTCAGTTCTGTTTAATTAGATTTTTAGATTTTTACTAGGTTTTGGGATTTTGGGACGACCGCCGCCAACGGTCACAATTGCAGAGTGAGTGGTGAGCATCCGGAGTATTACCCCAGAGGGCAACTTTTGTTCGAATACTCACCACTTTACATGGCGGGAAAAAGCGACATCGATAAACATGGCGGGAAAAAGAATTCTTTGGGACGGCAGGGCATCGATAACAGGGTTGCAGCAAAAACATCAGAAGTCTTATACAGTGACAAGGGCTGCAGCGTCACATTGGCGGGAATTTTGTTGAAGCGCAGCAAGACATCAGCGGTGGTAAAACGGAGCTGGAGCAGGACGACGGGGGGCATTTTGGATAAATTGCCGGGCAATTCATGCCAATCCTTGGCATATGGCAAATCCGATAGCATCATCCATGGCAACTGGTAACATCGTGACGTGGATGGGTGGCAACGCTCTCAGAGACATGGAAGAGAATTGCCATAATTTAGTAAAAGGTAAAAATTTACAATAATTGACAATAAGTACGACGAAAACATTTATCAGAAAACAAGGACATAGTCAAAAAGGAAAAACATTAACTATGGCCAAAATCATCATCAAATGGGGATTCTCATCATGGAGGTTTATTTCAACTTTTAATTTATTTATTTAGTGTGAAAAACATGCTGGCAGCCCCCCTTGCAAAGTTCCAATTTGTAAACATTGATTTTGTTTTGATTCCTCTCCAGATTGCTGCAGTTCCGGGAAAAATGGCATAACTTTAAACAAAATGGCACAAAAGTGGACGGACGAGGGCAGCTCCAAAAACATAAGAATTGACATCAGGAGGGACAGGAATCAGGTCAAGAGTTCAGCAGGTAAGTATCCATAGTCATTATAATAAATTCCAACACTCCAAATTTGTTTTTCAGGAGGCCATCGTCCAAGTAAATACATCAAGAGGTCCAGGGGGGTAAAAGTCGTCCAACAGAGTAAAATAATTATCATAAAATCAGGGGTAATCCTTGTCTTAAAAAAAAATATCACAGCATATATATCACAGTTTGGTTTCCATAGCAGGTTGACCCCGTTGTCCAAATTTACCCGGGAGGAGATCGTCAGGAGAAGGTCCAGTAGATTTGTCAAAAAGGCTTCATAGGACGACAAGGATGAAAGGAAGGAAGTTAATAATGGCAAAATAGATAAGGGAAGTTCCATGTTTGCTGATAAGGATTCCTTTTATTGTTTATTTTCCCTTTTTTTTTTTCCTTTTATTTTCAGGTACATTGCGGGACATCACAAATGCGGAGGTAATCCATGTCAATCCATATTGCAGAGGGAAAGAATATCGCAGAGTTAGTGAAATTTGTCCGTAGAACTCGTCAGGCACAGGTTGCAAGATTGGCGTCTGAAACTGTCAGGTAAGTGTTTATTGCACAGGAACGAAAGTAATTAAAGATCCGGAGAGTCAGGAATCTCAGTTAAAGTTAGTGAGCAAGGCCAGCAAGAATCCATATAGTCAGGCACAGGTTGCAAGATTGGCGTCTGAAACTGTCAGGTGAGTGTTTATTGCACAGGAACGAAAGTAATTAAAGATCCGGAGAGTCAGGGATCTCAATTAAAGTTGGTGAGCAAGGCCAGCAAGAGTCCATATTAGCGTCCTCATCAAAGTCCTCCGGGCCGCAGTCAGGGATAATACACCGTCTTATCGCAGGAGCTTGGGACTTAATTAAATCAACAACACTGGCCCGTGAAAGGGCGCCGCAGGTAAAAAGTCTCCTAAGGGCTTTGATCATTTCCCCTTGGAATTTCGAAGGCAGGTGAGCTGAAGGTGGTTGCAGGACATGTCTAGCGTGGCTATCCCTATTTGGATTCTTTCTTTTCCTAGGAGGAGAGTCAACAATCTCAATAGGGCTGGGCAGCCTTTGAGCTGTGGCAGACTTTTTCAACAAACTGAGTTTTTCCAGTCTCAGCCGCTGCACCTCCTCTTCATACATACGCAGGAGGGTTGGGGGAGTGGGTTTAGCAAGTTTATTGCCCTTGTTGGTTATCTTTTTGTTGATAGAAAGGTGCCCCTGCAACAGCTTCAAGTATCTCAGCCTAGATCTGCTTATTCTCCGTAGTGAGACAGGATTCGTTCCTAGTTCTTTGACAGCTGGGTTATCGTTACCCAGTGCTGTGACAAAGAAGCGATTGCAGTGCTCAGTGTAGAGGTCATCCAAGGTTTTAATATTATTTAATAGAAAAATATCATTATTTTTGGCGTACCTATCATAGCCCAGAGCCTTACGAATGATTCGATTGGTTGTTGATTGGACTTTATTCACAGAGGTGTCGGAGGATAAAGATGCCCACACCGGTAGCGCGTATTGCCAAAGTGGCATGATAAGTTGTTTAATAAGAGTTGACTTGGTGGCCCTATTTAAATGGCTATTTGGGCCAATAAGCCAATTGAGTTTTTGGCCCTCGCACGGACCCTAATGCAGAGGTGGGTTGTATGAGATTTAAGGGTCAATTTCTCGTCAAGTGTGACCCCAAGATAATTAAATGATTTACTACTCCGGATTTTCTCTTTCCCAATGAATATATCGCAGTACTTGAAGCTCACCACCTTATTAAGGGTGAAGCACACCGTGGCGCATTTTGAGGTGTTAATTTTGAGCCCCCATTTATTTGCCCAATCACAAAAGGCGCTGAGGTAGACATTAAGGCCTCCGGCAGCTGCTTGCGGTGTTTTGCAGCTGTACAGCACAGCCGAGTCATCAGCATAAGTAGCCAACAATAATTTTTCCGGGTTATGGCAAGCAGGAAAATTTGAAATCATTTCCGGAAGGGGCAAGTCGGAGGTGAAGATAGAATAAAGGAAGGGTCCCAAGACACTGCCCTGGGGGACCCCGGCCTTGACATCCTTAATAAGCGATCTGGTTCCATTTCCACCTTTAACAAAGAAAGTCCTGCCAGAAAGGTAGCTACGCAGTATGTTGAAAAGCTGGAAGGGAAGCAGTTTAAACAATTTTAGAAGGAGCCCATCGTGCCATACTCTGTCAAAAGCCTGTGTAAAGTCGATAAACACAGCTGAACAGTACTCTTTATTATCAAAGGCTTTGAGAATGTACTGGCAGACTCTAAAAATTTGCTGTTCACCGCTGTGACCTTCCCTAAAACCAAATTGGTGATAGGGTATAGCCTTGGCAAAATTTTCATATTTTAGCATTTTATTCAACAGCAATCTTTCAAATATTTTTGAGAAACCAGGGAGCAAGCTGATTGGCCGATAGGAGGATGGATCATGGACCGACTTTCCGGGCTTGAGGATCATCGAAATTTCCGCCTGTTTCCACTTGGACGGAAAATAACCCAGCCTGAGCGAACAATTATAAATATTAAGGAGAAAGAGAAGAGCTTTCTTGGGCAAGGCTTTGATGAGTTTATTGGTGATCCTGTCCTGACCAGGAGACTTTGAGGTGGCAAGCCCAGCGACGATAGTTTTCAGCTCATCAAGGCGGAAGAAAAGTGAGTTGCCAGTGTTAGTGGGTGAGTTTACCATCAGCTTGTTTAGTTCATCTACTAATGCCTTTTTATCCAAATCCAGGTTCAAGATATTAAAGTTGGGAGAAAAACGCTCCTCAAGATGGGATGCAAATACGTCAGCTTTTTCCCGTTCCGTCCTTGTCCACCTAGATTCAGGCATCCTGGTCATAGCAGCATTAGGAGGCACATCAATCCGAAATTTGAGTGGATGGCTAGAAGGAGCAACACGCTTCAAGTTCCTGGTGATCTTCCAAATCCTTGACATAATATACTTGTCGCTTGGGTCCAGGCGGGCTAACTGGCGATCAATGTTGTTTTGTTTAGTCCGCTTAATGGCTTTAGAAAGTCTATTTTTTATTATTCCAAGCTTCCTTTTATTATTAGGTGTTCGTTTTTTCCTTAGACTTCTTCTGAGGAAATTTGCTTGGAACAGCAGAATTTTAGTGCGAAGATCCAGCTTTGCTGTCGGGGGGTGTCTTTTAGGAACAGGATGGAAAGCAGCATGTTGGTCCAAAGCTTCACGGATTTTCCGGGTAAGAATACCAATGGCATCATCAATATCCTCTATTGATTTCAATTCCATGTTAAGGTTTATGCTCCTCTCAAGTGTTGATTGAAAAGCCTTGAAACCATGGACGCTACGAGGAGGAAAAAGAGGCCAATTGATAACTGAAGGGGCATCCGGAAGAGCCAAAGGAGCACACCCAAGGGCTGCCTCAATAAGCATAGGGAGGTGGTCTGAGTAAAGCCCATCCATCGATGAGATACGGATGTGTTTTGGGGAAAAACCAGAATATATCCCAAAATCCAAATTAGATGGATTAGATTTCCGGCTAAAAGGAAAATGGGTAGCTGATCCTGTGGCAAGAACATTGTATCTGGCTCTAGAATGTATAGCTTCGGCTAATAATTTGCCCCTGCAACAACCACGAGCACTGCCCCACATCTGGTCCTTGGCATTCCAATCACCCGCCAATATAAAGCGCAAGGAGCTTGGTGGGCAGAGCGCGTCTATACGCCTGAGGAGCTGGGTAAATTCGCCGACTGCCCATCTAATAGACGGTGGACAATAAATGGATGACACAACAACATTGTTAATCAAGACAGGACAGGCTTGATATGATTCAAACTCCTCAGGGCTAAGGACAGAGTGTGACAGTCCATGGCGGACAAGAGTTGCAGCTCCGCCCTTACGATGGTTTACCGGGTTTCTGGCCAAATATGAATGGTATCCATCAATAGTGAGAGATCCGACTTTGGACTCACATATAAGCATGACATCTATATTGTAATTGGCTAAAAATTCCTTCAAATCAGCCAGCTTGTTGGAAACGCCGCCCGCATTCCAGAAGCAAATTTTTAGCAGCTTTGGATTTTTGGATTTTTTCCTTGGCACTGCTGAAAGGGAGGATGGAAGGAAGAACTAATCATAATAAACATCATTAGCGTTTAATAGTTGGACAAGTGAATCCTCCTCGTCGACAGATGCCATCTCAACCGAGTGACAAATGCTTTGTAATTTTGTATTATTAATAGACAGCTCTGTTATGTCAAAAGCTGCAGTAATTTTATTTATAGATTCAAGTAATTTAATAAATGACTTCCCAAGCTCCTCAACTTTAAGCAAAACTTTTTTATTTATCTGGTTCCCTTCCAGGATAAACTGCCTCTGTTGATCCTCAACAGCCAACAGCCTTTGCTGCCAATGATCGAGCTGCTCCTGATACGATTTGGGTTTGGGTGGCAACATCTCATGCTGACGCTGCCGTTGCCTTGAATTGTCCTCTATTCTTATTTTATTAGTATTATTAGTATTATTTTGATTGTGCTCCATCCGAAGCCTTGTTTGAAATCTAGCCAGGTGGGATTCGGCCAGATTTTTAAGTTTCTTCTTATCCTGGCTGCGAAAAGGATTGGAATGCTGCCTTTTGCTAACACGGTCATAACCAGGGGACTTGGACAAAGGGGTTTGGCCTTTCCTCTTTCCCAAAACCGAGCGCTGATTTTGGTTTCGCCTATCGGTTAATTGGGAGTTTATGTTGCTGTTCCTATTCCTGTAGCCAAAACTATCACCCAAGTGCTGCGCCGATTGCTCAGAGGCCTTCAGGATGGCAAAACGATTTTGACTGGGTTTTTGAATTGGGCGATCATGCTTTGGAGTATGACGAGCTGGTGGCCGTTTGTGGGGACGACGTATACCAGCCTTCTTGCGCTGATGAGTGTCAAAGTGACCATTTTTGTAATCCTGATATGCAGGACAGCCCCTGTAGGAGGACACATGGCGTCCGCCACAGTTGCAGCACAAGGCAGGACGAAAGCGGGGTTTTGGCAGGCCGTGGTAGGATGACGGCCCGCACATTTCAAACAATTGAAGGGCCTCCTACACGAACCCTTAAGATGTCCAAAACCTTGACATCTGTGGCACTGTAGGATTACCCAAGGTGGATTGGAATAATCCAAGGCTCTCGGTGATCGGGGCGTTAAAGGGGGGACAACATTAGACTTTCTCCGCTCCTCGCTGTAGAGCCTTTTCGCAAAGTTGCTCTTGAAGGACGGGGTCCTTAAGGCTGAGGACTTGTTAGAGCCTAAAGGCGGAAAATTCTCCTCATAGGATTTCGCATATATGTTTGATTTCTGTTGCTGTTGCCTATGCTGCTGCTGCTGCTGTTGCCTTTTAGTCCTGATACGCTCAATCTCACCAAGCGAATTTGGCGATGTATGGACCAGGGCTTTGGCTTTAAAAAACAAAGGACCTTGGTCTACCGAACTGGCTGCACTGGGAGCTTTCAGGTTTATACTTGGTTTGAGAGAGGGGCGTATCGGAGGTAGGGGCGTGGCAGGTTTAGTAATGGCAAAATTTTTCAAGTCAGAGAAAAGTTTTTAAGGACCTGCACCGACTGTATTTTGACAGAGGAGGAAGGGCCCTGTTTATCATTTCCTATTTCCAGAGCAGCTGGAGTTAGATCCCCTTGGGCAAAGGATTTGGGTCCAAGTTCATGGGCTTTGGCTTTGTCAGCGGAAGTTGTTCCATTTTCTAAATTTACATTACATGAAGAAACAACAAGTGGTTCAAAAGGCACTTTTGTTTTAGGACAACAGATGGCGCCCTGTCCTGGCGCTGCTAATGTTAATGCACATACTGGATTGCGAATGGGGGACTGTTAATTGAGTTAACATTTTTATGTATGTTAATGTCTTTTGGGGTAACAATAGAGGTGTGGCAAGGGGGGCTGCAGTTAATTTGCTTGTTACATTTAACAAGGGACTCCTCCAGGAGGACCCTTTTTTCCGTGCTAAAAAGCACAGTCGGAGATGAGGAAAGATTTCGTTTATTATTATGTCTGTTATCTTTGCCACTGTTAATGGCAGGTGTCAATTTCTCATTCGAAGAGATCAGAGTATGTTCTTCGTCGTTGGTGTGTGTGCGTTTGTCTCCTCTTTTAATATCTGTCTCCGTACAGGTGTGTGGGTGAGTGGGGAAAAAACGGCTTGCGCTTGCGCAGTTATTTGTATTCCTATTTTCATATGTATGACCTGGTATTGGTTGGAGCCCAGAATGCACGCTATGAGGGGGGGCATTAACCTCCTGGGCAGAAGAGCAGGGGCTCTTTGGCAAATTTCCCATGGAAATAATTGGGGAATTTTTGGAAGAACATCGTTTGATAGGTATGTTTCCGCCACCGAGGAGGGAAGTGAGGGTGATTTATTAAATTTAGATTCATACTCACAGCGGTGAGGTGAGGAAACATCCGGTAGAATTAAGGAAATTGGGGATGAAATATCGAAAATTATCTCGTCGTCCGATTCAAAAAAGGTATCCATTATAAAAAACTTTTTTTCCTTCCTTCTCCTTCTTGTCCAGTTACTTGTCCAGCTCCTGTATGCCGCTATTCCGCACTCCTTCGTGTGTGTGTGTGTTTCTCCAAATTTTGATTAAAATTTCCGGTACCACCAAAATAATAAATTAACACTTTGTTTTTTTTTTTTTTTTAATTTTGATTTTTTAATTTAATTGATTGTTTTATTGGCTTTTGATTTTGTCTTTAATCGTTTGTTCTATTGGCTTTTGAGTTCTGCAATTGGTTTTACAATTTTAGTTTCACAATTTAGTTGGCTTTTAACTTTTCACAAAAACAGTTTACATGGATTTACATGGGTTTTACTTTTGGTTTTACTTTAGTTTACATGGATTTGGTTCAGTTCTGTTTAATTAGATTTTTAGATTTTTACTAGGTTTTGGGATTTTGGGACGACCGCCGCCAACGGTCACAATTGCAGAGTGAGTGGTGAGCATCCGGAGTATTACCCCAGAGGGCAACTTTTGTTCGAATACTCACCACTTTACATGGCGGGAAAAAGCGACATCGATAAACATGGCGGGAAAAAGAATTCTTTGGGACGGCAGGGCATCGATAACAGGGTTGCAGCAAAAACATCAGAAGTCTTATACAGTGACAAGGGCTGCAGCGTCACATTGGCGGGAATTTTGTTGAAGCGCAGCAAGACATCAGCGGTGGTAAAACGGAGCTGGAGCAGGACGACGGGGGCATTTTGGATAAATTGCCGGGCAATTCATGCCAATCCTTGGCATATGGCAAATCCGATAGCATCATCCATGGCAACTGGTAACATCGTGACGTGGATGGGTGGCAACGCTCTCAGAGACATGGAAGAGAATTGCCATAATTTAGTAAAAGGTAAAAATTTACAATAATTGACAATAAGTACGACGAAAACATTTATCAGAAAACAAGGACATAGTCAAAAGGAAAAACATTAACTATGGCCAAAATCATCATCAAATGGGGATTCTCATCATGGAGGTTTATTTCAACTTTTAATTTATTTATTTAGTGTGAAAAACATGCTGGCAGCCCCCCTTGCAAAGTTCCAATTTGTAAACATTGATTTTGTTTTGATTCCTCTCCAGATTGCTGCAGTTCCGGGAAAATGGCATAACTTTAAACAAAATGGCACAAAAGTGGACGGACGAGGGCAGCTCCAAAAACATAAGAATTGACATCAGGAGGGACAGGAATCAGGTCAAGAGTTCAGCAGTTAAGTATCCATAGTCATTATAATAAATTCCAACACTCCAAATTTGTTTTTCAGGAGGCCATCGTCCAAGTAAATACATCAAGAGGTCCAGGGGGGTAAAAGTCGTCCAACAGAGTAAAATAATTATCATAAAATCAGGGGTAATCCTTGTCTTAAAAAAAATATCACAGCATATATATCACAGTTTGGTTTCCATAGCAGGTTGACCCCGTTGTCCAAATTTACCCGGGAGGAGATCGTCAGGAGAAGGTCCAGTAGATTTGTCAAAAAGGCTTCATAGGACGACAAGGATGAAAGGAAGGAAGTTAATAATGGCAAAATAGATAAGGGAAGTTCCATGTTTGCTGATAAGGATTCCTTTTATTGTTTATTTTCCCCCTTTTTTTTCCTTTTATTTTCAGGTACATTGCGGGACATCACAAATGCGGAGGTAATCCATGTCAATCCATATTGCAGAGGGAAAGAATATCGCAGAGTTAGTGAAATTTGTCCGTAGAACTCGTCAGGCACAGGTTGCAAGATTGGCGTCTGAAACTGTCAGGTAAGTGTTTATTGCACAGGAACGAAAGTAATTAAAGATCCGGAGAGTCAGGAATCTCAGTTAAAGTTAGTGAGCAAGGCCAGCAAGAATCCATATAGTCAGGCACAGGTTGCAAGATTGGCGTCTGAAACTGTCAGGTGAGTGTTTATTGCACAGGAACGAAAGTAATTAAAGATCCGGAGAGTCAGGGATCTCAATTAAAGTTGGTGAGCAAGGCCAGCAAGAGTCCATATTAGCGTCCTCATCAAAGTCCTCCGGGCCGCAGTCAGGGATAATACACCGTCTTATCGCAGGAGCTTGGGACTTAATTAAATCAACAACACTGGCCCGTGAAAGGGCGCCGCAGGTAAAAAGTCTCCTAAGGGCTTTGATCATTTCCCCTTGGAATTTCGAAGGCAGGTGAGCTGAAGGTGGTTGCAGGACATGTCTAGCGTGGCTATCCCTATTTGGATTCTTTCTTTTCCTAGGAGGAGAGTCAACAATCTCAATAGGGCTGGGCAGCCTTTGAGCTGTGGCAGACTTTTCAACAAACTGAGTTTTTCCAGTCTCAGCCGCTGCACCTCCTCTTCATACATACGCAGGAGGGTTGGGGGAGTGGGTTTAGCAAGTTTATTGCCCTTGTTGGTTATCTTTTTGTTGATAGAAAGGTGCCCCTGCAACAGCTTCAAGTATCTCAGCCTAGATCTGCTTATTCTCCGTAGTGAGACAGGATTCGTTCCTAGTTCTTTGACAGCTGGGTTATCGTTACCCAGTGCTGTGACAAAGAAGCGATTGCAGTGCTCAGTGTAGAGGTCATCCAAGGTTTTAATATTATTTAATAGAAAAATATCATTATTTTTGGCGTACCTATCATAGCCCAGAGCCTTACGAATGATTCGATTGGTTGTTGATTGGACTTTATTCACAGAGGTGTCGGAGGATAAAGATGCCCACACCGGTAGCGCGTATTGCCAAAGTGGCATGATAAGTTGTTTAATAAGAGTTGACTTGGTGGCCCTATTTAAATGGCTATTTGGGCCAATAAGCCAATTGAGTTTTTTGGCCCTCGCACGGACCCTAATGCAGAGGTGGGTTGTATGAGATTTAAGGGTCAATTTCTCGTCAAGTGTGACCCCAAGATAATTAAATGATTTACTACTCCGGATTTTCTCTTTCCCAATGAATATATCGCAGTACTTGAAGCTCACCACCTTATTAAGGGTGAAGCACACCGTGGCGCATTTTGAGGTGTTAATTTTGAGCCCCCATTTATTTGCCCAATCACAAAAGGCGCTGAGGTAGACATTAAGGCCTCCGGCAGCTGCTTGCGGTGTTTTGCAGCTGTACAGCACAGCCGAGTCATCAGCATAAGTAGCCAACAATAATTTTTCCGGGTTATGGCAAGCAGGAAAATTTGAAATCATTTCCGGAAGGGGCAAGTCGGAGGTGAAGATAGAATAAAGGAAGGGTCCCAAGACACTGCCCTGGGGGACCCCGGCCTTGACATCCTTAATAAGCGATCTGGTTCCATTTCCACCTTTAACAAAGAAAGTCCTGCCAGAAAGGTAGCTACGCAGTATGTTGAAAAGCTGGAAGGGAAGCAGTTTAAACAATTTTAGAAGGAGCCCATCGTGCCATACTCTGTCAAAAGCCTGTGTAAAGTCGATAAACACAGCTGAACAGTACTCTTTATTATCAAAGGCTTTGAGAATGTACTGGCAGACTCTAAAAATTTGCTGTTCACCGCTGTGACCTTCCCTAAAACCAAATTGGTGATAGGGTATAGCCTTGGCAAAATTTTCATATTTTAGCATTTTATTCAACAGCAATCTTTCAAATATTTTGAGAAACCAGGGAGCAAGCTGATTGGCCGATAGGAGGATGGATCATGGACCGACTTTCCGGGCTTGAGGATCATCGAAATTTCCGCCTGTTTCCACTTGGACGGAAAATAACCCAGCCTGAGCGAACAATTATAAATATTAAGGAGAAAGAGAAGAGCTTTCTTGGGCAAGGCTTTGATGAGTTTATTGGTGATCCTGTCCTGACCAGGAGACTTTGAGGTGGCAAGCCCAGCGACGATAGTTTTCAGCTCATCAAGGCGGAAGAAAAGTGAGTTGCCAGTGTTAGTGGGTGAGTTTACCATCAGCTTGTTTAGTTCATCTACTAATGCCTTTTTATCCAAATCCAGGTTCAAGATATTAAAGTTGGGAGAAAAACGCTCCTCAAGATGGGATGCAAATACGTCAGCTTTTTCCCGTTCCGTCCTTGTCCACCTAGATTCAGGCATCCTGGTCATAGCAGCATTAGGAGGCACATCAATCCGAAATTTGAGTGGATGGCTAGAAGGAGCAACACGCTTCAAGTTCCTGGTGATCTTCCAAATCCTTGACATAATATACTTGTCGCTTGGGTCCAGGCGGGCTAACTGGCGATCAATGTTGTTTTGTTTAGTCCGCTTAATGGCTTTAGAAAGTCTATTTTTTATTATTCCAAGCTTCCTTTTATTATTAGGTGTTCGTTTTTTCCTTAGACTTCTTCTGAGGAAATTTGCTTGGAACAGCAGAATTTTAGTGCGAAGATCCAGCTTTGCTGTCGGGGGGTGTCTTTTAGGAACAGGATGGAAAGCAGCATGTTGGTCCAAAGCTTCACGGATTTTCCGGGTAAGAATACCAATGGCATCATCAATATCCTCTATTGATTTCAATTCCATGTTAAGGTTTATGCTCCTCTCAAGTGTTGATTGAAAAGCCTTGAAACCATGGACGCTACGAGGAGGAAAAAGAGGCCAATTGATAACTGAAGGGGCATCCGGAAGAGCCAAAGGAGCACACCCAAGGGCTGCCTCAATAAGCATAGGGAGGTGGTCTGAGTAAAGCCCATCCATCGATGAGATACGGATGTGTTTTGGGGAAAAACCAGAATATATCCCAAAATCCAAATTAGATGGATTAGATTTCCGGCTAAAAGGAAAATGGGTAGCTGATCCTGTGGCAAGAACATTGTATCTGGCTCTAGAATGTATAGCTTCGGCTAATAATTTGCCCCTGCAACAACCACGAGCACTGCCCCACATCTGGTCCTTGGCATTCCAATCACCCGCCAATATAAAGCGCAAGGAGCTTGGTGGGCAGAGCGCGTCTATACGCCTGAGGAGCTGGGTAAATTCGCCGACTGCCCATCTAATAGACGGTGGACAATAAATGGATGACACAACAACATTGTTAATCAAGACAGGACAGGCTTGATATGATTCAAACTCCTCAGGGCTAAGGACAGAGTGTGACAGTCCATGGCGGACAAGAGTTGCAGCTCCGCCCTTACGATGGTTTACCGGGTTTCTGGCCAAATATGAATGGTATCCATCAATAGTGAGAGATCCGACTTTGGACTCACATATAAGCATGACATCTATATTGTAATTGGCTAAAAATTCCTTCAAATCAGCCAGCTTGTTGGAAACGCCGCCCGCATTCCAGAAGCAAATTTTTAGCAGCTTTGGATTTTTGGATTTTTTCCTTGGCACTGCTGAAAGGGAGGATGGAAGGAAGAACTAATCATAATAAACATCATTAGCGTTTAATAGTTGGACAAGTGAATCCTCCTCGTCGACAGATGCCATCTCAACCGAGTGACAAATGCTTTGTAATTTTGTACTATTAATAGACAGCTCTGTTATGTCAAAAGCTGCAGTAATTTTATTTATAGATTCAAGTAATTTAATAAATGACTTCCCAAGCTCCTCAACTTTAAGCAAAACTTTTTTATTTATCTGGTTCCCTTCCAGGATAAACTGCTTCTGTTGATCCTCAACAGCCAACAGCCTTTGCTGCCAATGATCGAGCTGCTCCTGATACGATTTGGGTTTGGGTGGCAACATCTCATGCTGACGCTGCCGTTGCCTTGAATTGTCCTCTATTCTTATTTTATTAGTATTATTAGTATTATTTTGATTGTGCTCCATCCGAAGCCTTGTTTGAAATCTAGCCAGGTGGGATTCGGCCAGATTTTTAAGTTTCTTCTTATCCTGGCTGCGAAAAGGATTGGAATGCTGCCTTTTGCTAACACGGTCATAACCAGGGGACTTGGACAAAGGGGTTTGGCCTTTCCTCTTTCCCAAAACCGAGCGCTGATTTTGGTTTCGCCTATCGGTTAATTGGGAGTTTATGTTGCTGTTCCTATTCCTGTAGCCAAAACTATCACCCAAGTGCTGCGCCGATTGCTCAGAGGCCTTCAGGATGGCAAAACGATTTTGACTGGGTTTTTGAATTGGGCGATCATGCTTTGGAGTATGACGAGCTGGTGGCCGTTTGTGGGGACGACGTATACCAGCCTTCTTGCGCTGATGAGTGTCAAAGTGACCATTTTTGTAATCCTGATATGCAGGACAGCCCCTGTAGGAGGACACATGGCGTCCGCCACAGTTGCAGCACAAGG